TGGTTTACCTTTAGGTTTGTTGCCTTTCCCCTTTGCAACTTCTGGGCGTTCATACTTACTTCTGTAGTCTTTCTCGCTTCCGAGGAAATCAGAAAGTCATGAAATGTTCACTTATTCCCCTGTTTCCGTCTCTTTATTACCAGCAAAACTCACGGGGACGGTTGGCTCCGTACCGGCTGAGGGCATTAGCACTCGACTGATAGGGATTCCAAGCTAATCTATCCGAGGCCATCAATGTATCTCTTGTCTCGGATTCAGTCTGATTTTCCGGATCCTAGGCTTTCCACCCGGTTGAGAGATGCGATGAGCCAAGCGCGTGCAGTTGGGGGACATGGGATTTGACCCGGAACAACGGAGGGGTGAGCTTGCAGAAATTGAGGCGCCAGGATCAGACGACGATCGATCTAGTGGCATTGTTTTATCGTCTTCGTCTCCAAAAATTCTGTAATTGAAAAAAATGATGGTATGTTCCTATTCAGGTATAATATAAGCATAAGGAATTTGATCCGTTTGGTTAATACAACACCGACCATATTGGTCTACACTAATACATTGATCCCCACCCGCCATAATGATGGGTGCGCTATGTCTACAAGCACGTTCTGCGGTAAACGCATGAAAGTTGCATTCATGCAAAATCTGAACTAGTTCATTATAAGGTTCATTGCGTAGATTAGAATAGGTATATTATTTCACTACAAAAGCGTACATATTGAAAATGAGCATCCTTTCTTCAATCTTTTTATCAATATCGTCAATCATTATATTGAACAGAACATCGAAATATATTTCACAGGAGGAATACCAGTAGATAGACTCATCAATTTAATCTCCTTACCAGATTCATCTTCTTTATAGGACTTGCATGAATATAACCTGATAACAATTTCACAGCATAATCATGATTATGAAGAAGTGGGGCAACCTTATGAAGAAGTCGAGATCTGGTCGTAGAAGAGCCCTGTGCTTTACTTGACTTGATTTTGATTTTAGCTCTTTTGAAGCTTTTGAATCAGCTGTGAAGTCTCTTTGCAGTCCGTAAAGTGGAATTTGACCTATGTCCCCCTCAAATGTAAGCTCGTTCCTCACTCGTGCCATACGTGGGGTTATTCAATGAGCGAAGAACAATAAGGGCCAGCCGGACTCTACCTGCCGGGCCTGTGTATTCGGGAACCTCCGGGAAATACAGTTATAAGTGCGAATAAGTGCGAACAGGCTCATCACTCTAATGTCTCGCCCAGGTCGAAAGGGTTCTAAGCCTTTTCCCCTTCCTTAGCTACTGACGACAGAATGGTTGGCACATTATTAAGAATTCCAGGTGATATGAACGATACGCTAGTTCGGGTCTTGAAAATCCTTTATTCAATGTCCAGAGAGTGACTCTTTCCTGCTTCCGATGGCAACTGGCTTGGAAGTGGACTTGATTGATTGTCTTCCCATATGAGACGAGGGGAATCTTCGGTAGGAGTATCTAAGAGATGTTCTAAGAGACTATTAAGAGCCACAATCACAGGGATATATTACCTGAGGATGGTTCTACAGATCCCTTTCTATATATATATATATATAGCTACCTTTAAAAGAAATCCTATATCGGGAGAATTAGGGCTGCTGGTTTTAAGCACAATGGAGCAGGGGACAACATAGACCATAGACCGAAAAAGAGTAGAAGAAGAAGAGAAGTAAGAACAACGAAGCGAGTGTCTCTCATGTAAGAATATTGTAAGGCTTCCCCAAGGCAAAAAGAATTCTAGAAGTTTCTCTGATACTTAAAACACCTGATAGACCTGGAGCTGGCAATCGCAGCAAGGGAGTGCGTTGCCTTCTTCAGATGGAAATGATCTCTGGGAAGATTGGTGTGGCTCGTCAAGTAAAAATCTCCTTTCCCAACTGCTTTATCGAGCCTGCTCTCCAGGATCCTAATTCCATCCTCAGGCTATGACTCACTTCGTCCCTCACTAAGATCTGTCGTATATAATAGGAATAGATTCAGTCTGGACAGCTGTTTAAAGAAGGGATCCGTCTTCCTTCCATTCTTCGGAGCACCTAGCAAGGCCAGTGAAATGAGTCAATTTGGATTGTTTGTTTTTTTTGTTTTTATTTTAATAGGAAGAGTGATTTCGTAAATGCGAGGTACCGGGGGGCTTCCAGGCCGACGGAAATACAAGTCATGAACGATAGCGAAGCCAAGCCGGATAGGCTTTTTTATGTCGAAAGCCCCAAACTTTCTATCTTATAACAGACAACTAACGCAAGCCTACTCAACTAATTTCATAAGTCAAGGCCTGTTCGCATCGCAAACTAATAGAAAAAAACAACTACTAGACGTCACTATACGTTGAGTGCTCCTTGTTGTTCGGATCTTGACCGGATCCGAGCTTCCAAGCTCTATGCTGTTGGGGAATTCTGCAAGGGTCTTACCGCCTTCTTGATTGACTCTATTTGAGTCTTTGGAGTACTTGGGATTATATTCCGCGCCGAGGATTTGTGCTTGTGGGCCGGGGTGAATATTGCAGACCAGCGGATCAGGTGGTCGACAATTGTTCGGACTTGGTAAGGTTGTCGCGGCACCTGTAGTAGGACAGAGGACTTATCGCGATGCCCGCGGACCAATTTACGATGTCTCCGTCGCTGACGTTCGTCAAGCAGGCGACGTGGATTGGCCAGGGTCTTCTTCGGCTAATGAGACCTCGATCCCGAAGCCTTCGGAGTATCTTTTTGATAGCGCCTCCATTTGTATGGGGAATTCGCTGCTGATAGATCTCGCCCAGTGCCCCCCTCCTTCCCCCGCCGCCTTCCGACCCGCGGGAGTATACAATGAGAACTTCCGGGCATGAGTGCTCGATCGTGAGACTGCCTGTTGAACGTCCGATGGCACCTTGCTCCGACCTGAGCTATGCAACATATAGATCCCCCTTGATCCTTGCCGGATGTGCTTGACGGTCCCCCATAATACGCTCACTTGGGGACTTCTTACTCCAGCTGTTCCAAGAGTCTCCGCTAGTTGAACCGCGTCCAGTAGACTCCCTGTTCCGCTCATCCCCTTTGTCAGCTCTTTGATCGGGATACTATTACCGAGGTTCCTAAACTTTCCATGGATGGCCGAGCGTAGGTGGCAAGCAGTTATATGGATACGGTGCTTTACCCGTAGACGCTTCTCCAGCTCTCGCAAGAATTGTATGGGAGTCGTCCTCGGAGGGACTTCCCGAATGACCGTACCGAGGAATTCTACCGTACTCCGTGCAGCTAGTGTTGTTGATCCTGCAGAGTCTACCCAAGGTTCAGGCCGGATTGTAGAAAGTGGTTGATACATTTTTGTATTTCTATGATAAGCTCTACGGCACCCACGATTCCCAGTAGTAAGTAGTCGGCATATCGCGCGTAACAAATCCTTATGTTGGAATGGGTTTTTTAAGGGGGCCAGCTTACGGGCCAGGCCTCTCTCTGACCTGATAACTAGTATCGCCTCCCCGCCCAGCTCTATCAGCAGGCCCTTTCTTTTGCAAGACTTAAAAAACTCTCTCATGGCCCAATTATTATTACACAGCGTTCTCTACCATAGAATTCGGCCTTCGGGGTCAACCCGGCGGCTTCTATGAGGAAGGCGGCGCAAAGGAGGCTCGAGGGTTTGTTAAGGAAGGCGGCAAGGGCCGACGAAGGGGGGAAAACGAAAGGCCTTTTCTGGTCCCCCCTGAGCCGGGGGGTGCTTGGTGGGGGGTGTGCCACGACGAAACAAGGGAATTCAAGGCCGCTTTGCGTTGGATGCTCTTTACCCTCCCCACAATGATGGCTCTGTTGTCTTGGGGAGCGTTGAAGCTTGCTTCTTCTCCAGAGTTATCTTGGTCATCAATACGACCTGTCCTTAATAGAACCGATCGAATTCTCTGAACAATCGGAATTTCGTACTTCTGCCGGATCCTCCCTATGTCCTGATCGAGCTTGTGTAGGTAGATGTTGCCTGGTAGGACCGATAGTAATACACTGTGTGGGACGGAGTAAGGGCCCTTCTCACCTCCTACGAGTCGTCCGGCGGAAAAGACTTTTTGAATGGAGTAAAAGAACTTGGGATCGTCGATCTCTTCCTTAAAGATTGAGATGAGTCGATGTCGGTCGATGGTGTGAAAAGACTTCCTGATGTCGAATTCCAAAAACCAGCGAGAGGTTCCCCACTCTTCTTTGATCCGTCTTAGGACCGAGTGGCAGCCTCGACCCGAGCGGAAGTGCGATGTGTCTGGAAACTCGGGATCGTAAATGGATTCGAGTACCATTCTGATCGCCTCTTTCATGATCCTTTCTATAGGTAGAACTCCTGTGAGCGGTCTAAACTTCGATCCTTATTTCTTTCTGAATATTGTAAAGTAAAGGTACGCAAAGCCCGTTTTTTGCTCCCTCTATTGATAGATCAAGGGCCCTCCTGCCGTCGTTTCAGTGACTCATAGGGTTTCCCTCAGCTCAGTCTTTTTGGTTCTTGAGAATGGTCGCCACCCTCCCAGGACCGGAATGATTATCCCTGCCCGATGGGTCTACATCCATCCCTGAATGTCGTCGGGTACTGTTAACTTCCCCGCCATTCTTGTAACTGTCACCTGTAATCCGCGCAGGTGTGTCCGCACCCCCCTGAGTGGACGAGAAAGAAAGGATTTCTCGGAGCAACCAGACCCAGGAGTCAACTTTCCCGTATGAGCATTCGGTACATGTATCAGTCCGTGGAAGAGTTCAAGGGTCACCACTACGGAGGATCTCCCCCCTAATCTTAGATAGGTCGTCTGAGGGTTCGCCGCGGTTCATTGCTGTGCTTACACACTAGGCTACCCTTTTCCGAAAGCTCCGCGGGACCACCTACCACTAGTCTTCGGCCGGAGGGGTTTATTGCACAAAAACGCCGGGACGCGGGCGGACGAAAAGGGAAGCCCAACGAATGTCAGATGCAAAGCCCCGCACCTCATTAAGATCATATTGGCATACTCTCCCAAAAAAAAAAGAGCAGACCCCATTGAAGACGAGAGTGAGGTACAACAAGGTTGTTAAAACTTCCACCGCCCTTCTCACGGAGCCGTACGTGGACGTTACCGCTCATACAGCTCCCAGCCTGCAAGCAGTTAGCCTTCCTCTACAAGGAATGGAAGTGTGGATGAATCGACATCAAATAGAGGAATTCTTTTTTGACTTTTGTCAAACAAAGGGCAATGAAGGAAACGAAGTTGTCACTCGATCGAAAGGATATAAGACATAACGAAATCTTAGCTTCGTTGACTTTCTGAGGTATAACCTTCGCCACGACATTAGTGGCTTAGCTCTTCGCGCTTCCCGCAGGATAGAGAGAGAGTCAAGGGGGGGCGGTACGGAAGATTGGTCCGCGGAGAAAAGCTGAGTTTTTCGGTTCGCTCCCCCTATGTGGTCGGCCTTCTTACCAGTCTGCCTCCTTTCTCTTGATGGAATATTGATATACCCGAGCGTAAGCTTTGCTTTCGTTCTTCACCGGCGCTCTTAGGATGTATCACTCATCCCGCTCCTAAGGTAAGGAGTCTTCTGTGTGTTATAATCTTTACGGGAATGAATCGCATATGTTGGTTGAGAATTGCTCTGGAATTCATTGATAATGACTTTGCCAGGTTCTAGGGGGCTACTCTTATTTTTTGTCGATCGAGCCGCTCTCCCGGGTATTAATCACTCGTCCAGCCCTCTGAACGAACTTGTACAATCGATGCCACAAAGATAGCCAACTCTATTATCAAAGAAATAAGGAAACGGGCGA